TGTGTTCTGACGTGTTAACATCTCTCTGTGTTCTGACGTGTTAACATCTGTCTGTGTTCTGACGTATTAACATCTGTCTGTGTTCTGACGTGTTAACATGTCTGTGTTCTGACGTGTTAACATGTCTGTGTTCTGACGTGTTAACATGTCTGTGTTCTGACGTGTTAACATCTCTCTGTGTTCTGACGTGTTAACATGTCTGTGTTCTGACGCGTTAATATCGCTCTGTGTTCTGACGTGTTAACATGTCTGTGTTCTGACGCGTTAACATCTCTCTGTGTTCTGACGTGTTAACATGTCTGTGTTCTGACGCGTTAACATGTCTGTGTTCTGACGTGTTAACATGTCTGTGTTCTGACGCGTTAACATCTCTCTGTGTTCTGACGTGTTAACATCTCTCTGTGTTCTGACGTGTTAACATCTGTCTGTGTTCTGGTGACTGAGTGTTAAAAGTCTGGATTATTTGAGGTGCTGAGTCGAAGCTTTCATTGCCTTCGTGTTGAGTTTCTGCCCTGAGCCATGACTGACAGGCGCTCACAAATCAATCTACGGAAGCCCAGAGGAACAAACTGATCTCTTTTTTGGTTAATTTCATCGACATACAAATATTTTGTGGTTTAATTTATTCAATAATGATCCTGAATAATAATTAAAATGTTGTAATGTTTAAGTTAAATTTGGACCAAATATGATGGTGTTCATCACGATGAAATACATAAACAGTTAAATTAAGATCAATTAATGAAATCAGTTAAACCTATCCTAACTATTGATCTGTGCTTCTAAAGATGGACGTCTTTTTTAAGTGAGACAGGAGGTGAGACAGGAAGTGAGACAGGAGGTGAGACAGGAAGTGAGACAGGAGGTGAGACAGGAGGTGAGACAGGAAGTGAGACAGGAAGTGAGACAGGAGGTGAGACAGGAGGTGAGACAGGAGGTGAGACAGGAAGTGAGACAGGAGGTGAGACAGGAGGTGAGACAGGAGGTGAGGGACATGAGATTTATTCATTTAAATAAAGGGAGTAATTATATAAACTATTGATTTCGGGTTTATTGATTATAAGAACTGATTCAACATTTATGTTTCACTTTAGGCTGTAAAGATAATTGGAGTATACATACATAAATACATATATATACACTATTTGTATATATGTGTATGTACGTATATGTATATAAATGAGGCCACAATCCACCAACTCTCTCCGGCTGATAAATATTTGAATCCCAAATTGAATGATTAAATATGACACTGGAGAGACAGACAGGTCAGAGTGAGACAGACAGTTAACAGGGGGCGACTGTGACTGTTAAGAGGGTTGTCTGGCAACCGCAGGGTCAACGGTTCGATCCTCGACTGGGACGTGTCATGTGTCGTAGTGACCTGAACCCCCGGCTCCCTGGGTGCCTGTCATTGGCAGCCCACTGCTCCCTAAATACAGGGAGCAGTCAAATGCAGAAGGCAAATTCTATGTATGTATGTGTATGACAATAAAAATGGTTTCTTTTCTTGTGTGTTGAATTTCAAGTTTCTAAGTGTTTTTTGTTCCTGCAAACACGATTTTGTCCACAGGACAGTAGAGACAGACAGACAGACAGAGAGACACAAACAGACAGACAGTATAGAAGGCGAGTGAGACAGACTGAACTTTGAGAGAGAAACTACCAAACACAGTCAGGACTCAGCTTCATGCCCTAATTAGGAAGTTTTCCCAGAGTGCTTTGTTGTTCATTCAGAGAGTAGTGGAGCCCTGTGTGTGTGTGTGTGTGTGTGTGTGTGTGTGTGTGTGTGTGTG